TCTTAGACTATTCACAACTTCTATTGGACTTCCTTACATCCTATCCATCTGGCACAGAAGCATCACTGTTTTTTTTTTTTTGTTGCTGCCATAGGAGTTCAAATCCATGAGCCTGACATTCAAGACCTTACTTTACTCAACAGCTATATTGTTTTACCTTCATATCTCATTCACCATGGAACATATCAAGCAAAGCCAATTTCCTTACCGTTTTATACATGCCATGCCAGTTACTATTACAAGTACCTTTATTCATGTTCTTACCCCCTCTGCCTGGTTCTGGTGGAGGACAGGGATCAACCTAATCAGTCACCCAGAGGATCCTTGGAACTGAGAGGGAGAGAAAGTGGTGTTGTAGGATATCTCTGGATAATGGATTTGATTAGATGATTGCTAAGAACTTCTGTTAAGATCCTGTTGTTATGATCTTATAGGCTGAAGTAAATCTCTGCAGAGCTAGGATGACTACAGATAATTCCCTCATCTGCAAAAAGCTGAAAATTAAACTCTTAGAAATTCTTGGTGCTAGGTGCAATGGAAGAATACCGGAGAATCTTGGCCTTCCTCTTTTCCTCAAGCAATATTTCATTCTTTCAGTTAGCACACTCCAGAAGTATTGTAGTCCTTTAGAGAAGAGTGAATCCACTGTGGATTTGAGTGATCTGGGAAAATTTTCTGGTAAAGATGGGATTTGAGCTGGTCTTTGTCCTGATAAGGTACAGCTATGCAAGAGGGGAACATTACAGACAGAAAACTAGCAGTATGAAGGTACAGAACCGAGAATGAACTTCACATTTTAAGGAGCAGTAGAAGACTCTGGTAGAGTTGAGGTAGGGCCAAAAATGTCCTCTGATTGTGAGATTAGGGAAGCTTGGTCTTGATATCTAGCAGTGGGGATGTGATTAGAGCTGTCCATTAGGAAGATGAGTCATGCAGCCTGTGAAGGATAGATTCAGAGTGGAATAGAAGTAGGGAGGCTAATAATCAATGACAGTTGTATAGGGCTTTGTCGTACTCTGCATTATCTATCTTACTTGACCAGAGGTAAAGCAGCCAGTTAGAAATTAAGACTGTGGTAATCAGAAGGGGCAAGTGCTTTCTTTGAGCCTGAATTCTCGGCAAAAACCTTGTGGTACTCAATACTTTAAGTTTAGAAGTTGGTCTTTGGTCCACAACTCTTCTTCCCAGAGTTCTACGTACTTTTTCCTACTTCCTTGTCTTTTCCGCTTGACCTGTCGACCTGAAGTAAATGTAGAAGCTGCTTTGAACAGGATATTTGATTTAGAAGGCGTGGATGTAATTTGCTTTTATTCTCCCCAGGAGCATTCTTTTGGTGTCTTTTCTATTATCTCTGCCCACAGAGGTTAACCCCCACTCCACTGAGTACATCTCTTGACCCTTAGAGGTCATCTCACTAGGTTTATCTCAAATTCCTGGATACTCAGCTTTCCTCCAGACCTCTTCTTGCCCACCTCATTGAAATCTATCTTCTAGCTTCACCATTCTATGAACATTTCTTTCTCCAAGGTCACCTATCACTTATCAACAAGCCAGTAGCTTTCTGTGACTTGAAATACCTGAAATTGTTAGCCACCTTATCCTGGATAGTCTTTCTCTGACTGTCACGTCAAAGCACTTTTTTGGATATGTTGGGCTACTAGGGCTAGGACTTCCAGGTGGGAGATGAAACATCTGAAGGCATTTTGGGTTGAAAGAAGTGAGGGAGAACTTTGCCTGGCTATAGCAGAGGAGGCTCACCAGATGAACCAGTGCTAGGTTTTGGATGGTAGAAACTTATGCTTCTGGACTAAGCAGAAAGGTGATTCATACCTCCTATCTTAGGAGCACCTAGTGAATGAAGAAACAGGTCCTGGGGTTTACAATGAAGAAAACGAGCAATTTTTCTCTGCTGTTTTTCATTGTTTTTCTCCTTTACACCTAATCTTCCAACCTCCCCTACCTTCTCTCAGCTAAGTAAAAACCCACACTGGGGGTGTCTGCTTAAGGTGATACAACCTTTGAAGTAAGACTTTAAATTGCTTGTTGTTGTACTTTCCCTTTATTTTCTCATCTTAAAAGAATATTTGAGAGAAGCTTGAGGCTTTCCATTTTGCTCTTAATCTGTCTCATTAGGTTCTCCTGGATATCAGGCAATAGGACCAAGCAGATATAAACAGTTTGTGTTTCTATGATTATATGGAATAAGTTATTATACTGTTATCAGAATATTTTTAAAACTCCCAAGATGGGGCAGCTAGGTGGTGCAGTGGATTGAGCACCCGCCCTGAAGTCAGGAGGACCTGAGTTCAAATTCAGCCTCAGAGCAAATACTTGACACATACTAGCTGTGTGACCCTGGGCAAGTCACTTAACCCCAATTGCCTTAAAAAAAAAAACAACTCCCAAGTTCATGGATCTCAGGTTAAGAACTCCTGTCTCTTTCCATTCTCCCAAGCTGTATAGGAACATGGGGTGGGGGGTGGGGTGGGGAAGAGTGCTAAGTACTTTCAGACCAGAAGTAGGACAATTTCTTCTGAGGCTGAGACTGTAAGTGGGTTTGAATTAAGGTTTCAGGTGTTGTCTACTGGCCTGCCGTCAAGGTGGTTCTGATTCACCTGTTTTTTGTTTTTTGTTTTTTCCATCTGCTATCCCCCGTGCCTGGAATGTTTTCATTTTCATTTCCCTTTTTGGCTTCCCTTAAGACTTTGCTTAAACCCCCTTTCTATAGGTGGCCATTCCCACTCCTCACGTGTCTTCCATAAGATTAGCTCCCATTTACACTGTATCTTGTGTGTGTAGTTTTTTCCATATTGGCCTCCCCCATTAGGATTTGAACTCTTTTGAGGGTAGGGACAGGCTTAATAAATGCTTGTTGACTGATGGCTTCCTTTCCTTCCTTTCTCAGCTCTTGGTGCGGCTTATGGCACAGCAAAAAGTGGCACTGGTATTGCAGCCATGTCAGTCATGCGACCTGAACTGATCATGAAGTCAATCATTCCTGTCGTCATGGCTGGTATCATCGCTATCTATGGTTTGGTGGTGGCTGTTCTCATTGCCAACTCTCTGACACCGGGAATCACCCTGTTCAAGTGAGTGACAATCCTGGACCTCCCCGCTCCCTCCCCACCCCCCTCTCTCAGCTCAAACTGAGGTCACAGAGGAAACTCTCATTAATAATTTAGTGGGTACCTATCTGCCTAGCACCCATACCTGCTCAGGAACAAGATCCCTCTCCTTTCCTTGCTCCCTTCCTGCCTGTGCCCATTTGTGGCTGCTGACACTATTCATTCAACAGTTATTAACTGAGCAGGGTGGCCTCTGGGGAATTTTGGGGGGGGGTAGTTAGTGGAGGGAGGAATTTGGGTCAGCATTCTCTCCCCCTACCCCCACTTTGCACGTGAGTAGCTAGCCTGTTTGAGGCTTTGACTTCTGACCTTTGACCTCTATAGGAGCTTCCTTCAGCTGGGAGCAGGCCTCAGCGTGGGCCTGAGCGGGCTGGCAGCTGGCTTTGCCATTGGCATTGTAGGTGATGCTGGTGTTCGGGGGACAGCGCAGCAGCCCCGACTGTTCGTGGGGATGATCCTGATTCTGATCTTCGCTGAGGTGCTTGGGCTGTACGGCCTGATCGTGGCCCTCATTCTCTCTACAAAGTAGACCCTCATTTCCCATTCTTCCCAGTGCCCCACCTCCTCCCTCCTCCACCCCTTCAGCCACAGAGTATGATGTAAAGACCTGTCTTGAACCACCCCGTCCCTCCCAATTCGCTCCAGAACGAATGGCCTGACACCTGGTGCAGTTGTCCAGTCGGTAGTTGGTCTTGTAAATGCGCAATGTCTTAGTGACTCTTCTGTCTGTGTCGCACCGCACCGGATTGGATGGTGCCTGAACTGGGCCCAGCTGGGGCTGAGGCCTCCTGGGATCAGCCAGGCAGCCGTGCAATCTCCCTACCCATTTGCCGTTAGTACTCTGTGTATAAAGATGAATTAGAATTGTCATTTTTCTCTTCACTGGATGTTTATTTATAAAGATTTGACATGTTCATAACGTTTATGGAGCAAGAATTTTCAATTTCCCATGCTATATATTAATCTTAAATATAGGTAGATTATTGCACTGTGGGGTTAAGTGTCAAGTGCTGAGAATTCCTTGGATGTGATCATTTGAAATTCAAGATTGCTGTAGTGTCCTGGTATTAGTAAGAATTGTATGATTTGGGAACATGTTGAACATGTGTTTCCAGTGGTGCTGTGTAGCACGGGGCCAGGGCTCACAGTGATGTTTCCAAATAAAATTCTGACTGGAGGGGCTGGTGTGGTGTGTCGATCTGTGAATGGGTGGGTCAGCCTTTACTGCAGAGTTTCCTCATATTTTTTGTGTCATGGACTTCTTTGACAACCTGACCTTTTAAATGGATAAAATGCAGAGATTACAAAGAAACCAAGTCTATTGAAATAGCTGTCGGTATAAAAAGTTCAGACTCCATAGTATCAATGGAAAGGTGTTGGGGTCTGGAGATGGGGGGAGAGGGAGGGAGGGAGGGAAACACCTTGGCTGGTGTTTAGCTCATGAGTAGAGGTGGAAGGGGCTGTAGACAGTCTAACCTGGAGAGATGAGCTCTGGAGGGTCACATGACCAGCATACGTTACTGAAGGTCTGCATTTGGGTGTTTGAGGCGGAGGAGGCGACATGCCATTGTCCTCACTGCTGCCCCTGCCCAGTCCTGGAGCCCCTTGCGTCATGCTGCCTCAGACACGCCAGCCCCACTCATGCCCATGGTCATGCCCCAGCTTTGTCTCCTGCCCAGTCCCACTCCGCTATCCGCGCCACGCCCAACCCCAGGTGTGGAGCCGCCTGCGCGGCGCCGAGCTTTCTTCCGGCTGACCTAGCGGGAGGCTGAGTCAGGGTCGGAGAGAGTGGCGGAAGTCGGAAAATGATCGCTGTGGGCGGGGCCGGCTGTCGGGCCTAGTCACGCGCTGTCAGCTGATCGGTGGTCACGTGACGGTGGGGCTGGGCCCCGGAGCCGGGGAGAAAAACGGCCCGGCAGAGGAAGGCTCACTGTCCAGGGTGCGGAGAGCCGCGGGAAGTGGGGTTCTGGCACGGAGCCGGCTCTTCCCTACGACTGTAGCACCTCACCTCCACATCCCAGTCCAGGATGCCGCCCCACAAGATCGGGACTGAGGCCCAGATCGTGCAGTTCACCAACTGCCGCATTCTGCGCGGCCACGAGCTGATCTGGTGCGGAGCCGGGGTTGGGGCATGTGAGGAGACAGGGGCCGGGGGAGCCGGGGTCGGGGCAAGTGAGGGGACAGGGGCTGGTGGAGGCGTGGGGTGGGTAACGGAGCTCGGACGGGGATCCAGGCTGACATGAGTCTGTAGAATCTAAGAAGGCAACGACTCCTGATTCTGGGTGGGGTGAGGCTTGGAATGTGGAGGAACTTATAGCACCCGAGAAGGGGAGGAAGGGCCTCTAGAGTCACAGAGAAGAGAGGACCCTGCTCCGAAGGAAAATAGACCGCTGTCTTCTCGAGAGAGGGGGGCTTTTGGAGAAAGATGAGTCTGAGTTTTGATGGAAAGGGAGGTCCGGAAGGGAGTCAGGGCTGAATTTATTCAGGTTTTTGTTGTTTACTCGTGTCTGACTCATTGTGACCCCACTTTGAGGTTTTCTTGACATAGGTAGTGGAATGGTTTGCCACTTCCTTCTCCAGCTCCTTTTACAGATAAGGAAATTTGAGGCAAACAGGGTTAAGTGACTTGTCCAGGGTCACACAGCTAGTCTGAGGCTTAATTTAAACTCAGAAAAAGGAGCCTTCCTGACTTGTGGCCTGGCACTCTATCCACTTCAACACCTTGCTGCCCCATAGATTAGACTCAAAAGGGTGGGAGGGGGACTCCCTCCCTCAAGTTCAGCCCTTTGATTGAATCAAATTTCACAGAACAAAACTTCTAAATAAAAGGATTTATTGTATGAAACTTGTCAAAAGGCGACACCTAAGGACCTAGAAGGCCTCAGGTGGCCCAGAAGCTGAAGGTTCCCCACCCTTGGATTAGAGAAACTAACTCTTGGAGGTTGGATTCTGTGTGGGGAGGGCCCCCCTCACCTTGACACCCATTCTACTTGTTTAAGCTCTGCACTTTCAGGGAGGACCTGTGGATTCGAGAAGGCCGAATCCTGGATCCAGAGAAGCTTTTCTTTGAGGAGAAGAAATCAGCTGATGTGAAGAAGGACTGTGAGGGCCACATCCTGGCTCCAGGCTTCATTGATGTTCAGATAAATGGTATGAAAAAGTCCCCATCCTTCCCCCCTCCATCTCCTCCACCCCTAGTTCTACGCTGTCCAGTTCAGTCTTCTGGTTTTTGCTTTCGTTGCTCCTACCACAGAGCTAAGAGCTTCTATATGACACCTTTCCCAAATGCACCTCTCCCAACTGGGAGGCCTAACAGCCATACCCACTTCAACTAGACCACATCCCCTCCCAGTATGGAATCTCTAGTCTGGTTTGCTTCCCTAAGCCCTTCTCTCTGACCTAAAGGTCTCTGTAATTTTATGCCTCTCAGAATTGTTAGTCCCCCATGAAACCTATTCCCTAAACTATAGGCTAGCTCCCAACCTCTGCAGAGCTTATTCATTTGACTTCTTAACTCCTCTACCCATTTATGCTTCTCCCAGAACCTTAGTCTTTTATCTATATTGTTCTGTTGGACTCTGGCTTCTGTTGGTCTAACTACAGTAGTTCCTGGGTATATACTTCATAGGTGAACACAGATAAAATTAACCTATTACACTGACAGAGCAGCCTTCTGGCTGATACAAGATCCTTGCATCAAGGGCTGGTGAGCTAGGTGATATGGATTGGGCAATGAGTGTCAGCTTCTTTCTCTGGCCACAGGTGGATTTGGGGTGGACTTCTCCCTGACCCATGAAGATATAAGTGCAGGGGTTGCTTTGGTTGCCAAGAATCTCCTGGCTTATGGGGTTACTTCGTTCTGCCCAACCCTGGTCACCTCACCACCTGATGTTTATCACAAGGTAGGTAAACTGAGGCCTTTTGGTATTGTCATTGCTTCCTATCATCCAAAGAACTCTTTATGTTCTAAAATCCCAGAGGTCCTCTAGTCTAGGCCCCTGTTTTCAGGCATGCTGCTGAACTCCCACTCATCCACAAACCCTTCACTATAAAGACCAGTGGTCGTTGATTGTTCTCCAGGTGCCCTGTCCATCTCTGATCATTTCTTGTGTCTAGCCAGTTGCCACCTACTAACTAGTTGCATTTCATTTGGCCTTTGAGAATGAATGAATAATTCTTTATCAGAACCACCAGCACAGGAAGATGTAAGTTGAGGGCCTTAGACAAAGTGAAAAGCAACTCTTTTTTTTTTCCTGTTTGTTTTTATAATGAAGCACGTTCTTTTTTTGGGTTCTGGAAGATTTTGCAGGGTATGGAGGAAGAAGCTCAGTTTGGGCCATAGAATTGTGGGTGAGTTTATTGGTGATTGGCCTAATGTCTTTTGGTTTTTCTTTGGGAGGCTAGTGCTGCCTCATTACAGCAGCTGAAGGTAGCATGTGGGAACCGCAGTTAATCACACGGTTTCAAGGCTTTTTTCCCAGTTAGATGAGTGATATTTGTAAAGTGCTAAGCATAGTGCCCGGCACATATTAGGTGCTTAATAAATACTTGGTCCCTTGAGGTTAGGAAAGGCTTCTCGGAAGAAGTAGACTTGACAGGATTTTGAAAGATGGTTAAGATTTATGGGTGAGAGAAAGGGGTACTCCAGGAGGAAGTACTCCACTAAGGAAGGTGAATAACTTGACTATGGTGTAGGGTATGTGTTGGGGAGGGATGGTGCTATCACATTGCGTATGAGGTTAGCACTTGTGGTTCCCAAGGCATTGAATTCTAGGGTATTGAAAGCCAACATAATAATAGTAATAGTTTGTAGAGCACTTTAAGTTTTGCAAAACAATTCTACCTTCCCTTGGGTCATATACAGTTGCTTCAGACATAGAACACCACCTGAGGGTTGGGGTGCTTCTCCACCCTTCCCATATAGGATCGTACAGACCTGCAATGAGCATACAACACAAGGGCTAAATCTGGGTAGCTCTTTGTCTTATTCCTAATACCACACAATTTCTGGTTTGACCCAGAGACTCTTTACCTCTTTGCCCATCTGCAACGAACCACATTCTAGGTCCAAATGGTTGAGCAGGACCTCTTCTGTCAAAGAAGGAGTCTTATGTATAGCCCCTCTGTTTTGCCTTACTCCTCTGAATGACATCTGGACCCTTTGCTTCCTAATTCTTCCATCCACTTGACTCATAGCACCATTATTTATGTTTCTGCCTATCTTCCAAGCAGGGATGCTTCCCATGATACTTTTCTCTGTCTTTTCCCAGTCTTCTCCTTTTCCTATTAGGCCCCTTAGCCAGTTCCCTTGACCATTCCTATGGTTGCATATTTAAGTATTTAAAAATGCTTCCCTGGATCTCTGGCCTAATGTTTATACATATTACATATTTATTTATTGACCATTTTTAAAAAATGCTAACCACACTTCATATCACCTGTACACACTTTCTTCTCCTTGATCGTAGTTCTATTAAGTATTCAGTTGTATAGACCACTATGATAGGCACAAGCAGAGATACAGAGATTAATGAGGTCTGGTCCTTGCCCTCAGGAGCTCACAGTGAGGTAATACTTTAGATTTCTGTTAGTCACTATTCTGTTTGAGGTCTTAGATTTGAGACTGGTCCACGGGGAGGTGTAGCATCTCTAAAAGGTAAAATCGTGAGCTGTGGATATTCAGGGAGTGGAGAATACCTTGGGCTAAGGCACAGAGATGGTAAATTGCTGGACATTTATGGAGATAGTGGTGGGGTAGAGGTATATGTGTTGAGCAATCTGACTAGAATATAGAGTACATGAGAGAAAGACAAAACTTGGGAGGAGGTAGGTGTGGAGCTGTCCAGGGCCTTGAATGCCAGGCTCGGGAGTTTGTATTTTCTTCTGTAAATACTAGGTAGCTGTTGAAGAGTTTTGAACAGAGGGGTGATGTTGTCGAATCTACATGTAAGGAAGATTAATTTGGTAGTGATATGAGAGGCAGCTGGGTGGGAGACATTTGAGGAGATTCCTCTCTCCATCTCCTCATGTAGCTCTGGTCCTGGCTATAGCCTTTATCCTCAGGCCTCAGGACATAGTCTTTTTGTCCAGTGGGCTCTTTCTCCTTAGGGCCAGCTCTGGCTTTGAGGGCTCCTAACATAGACTCACTGATCGATGCTGCCCTATGTCCTGGGGACTTCTGCCCTGCCTCTTAGCACCCAAAGGGAGCCCAGGAGGAAGAAAGGACATATGCAGTGCCGGGCACTATGCTGAGCGCTTTACGAATGTTAGCTCATTTGATCTTCACAACAGCCCTGGGAGGTGAGGTGAAGTGACCTACCCAGAGTCTCACAGGCCAGATTTGAACCAAGTCTTCTAAGTCCAGGACACTCACTTTCTCCATTCAGTCACCTTACTGTCTCTGGGTGGAGGAAGGTTGGCTTCTGCTTCTAACTTGATAGGTGACTTGGGATAAGTCATTTCCACTCTGGGAAGTTTCCTCTTTTATAGAATGAGGGAGCTGGACTGATTCTCTAAGGTCACTCATTTCTAGGCCTGATAGGCTGTGGTATCTTTTAGAGGACCCCCTCTCTCCTGCCTCCAGGGACCAGTTGGCACTGTTTTTGTAAAGGAGTAGTTGAAAGGAGAATTCAGAGGTTTCACTTAATCCATTTCTAGGTTGGGTTTTCTTGTGCCCTGTCACTTTCTAGATCTGAGGTTTTCCTACTGCATCTTTCCTATTGCTTTATATTCTGTAGGGAACTGTCCCAATGTTCACTTTTTGTGACTTCTTTTGCTTTTATATCTAACTCCATCCTGTTCCTTGGCTCAGGCCCTCGGAGTTCTCTTCACTGATTTTCTGATTTTTCCTGCCCATTTAGCCCCACCAGCCATGCAGTTCTTCTCCTGGGAGAAGGGAGAAGCTGTGAAAGGTATTGGGTTCTGGGCTGTGCTCTGGGCCTTGGTCCATGGTCATTAGGGTCCTGGCTTTGGGCTGGGTGCTGGGTTGGGCTCTGGACTCTGAGCTCTGGGCTATGGGTTCTGGGATGGGCTAGATTCTGGACTCTAGATCTCTGTGCTTGGGCTGGAGTCCTAGGCACTGGGATCTTAGCTAGGCTGGGATGCACCTGTAGTCTGTGGTAGTAGTCTGGATGTGCCAGACTGCATTGTCTTTGGGCTTAGCTTTAGACAAGGGGGTCTGGTCTGGTCTGGTCTAGTCTAGAGCTTTAATTGCTCTTCTCTCCCAGGTCCTTCCTCAGATCACTGTGAGAAATGGTAGCTCCAAAGGAGCAGGGGTTCTTGGTGAGTAACTAATCCTCTAACCCCATAGGGCTCTTCAGCAACCACATCTTTCTATTCCTTGGTTCTGCCTACCCTGGGAAGAAAGAAGGGGTAGAGGAGTATACAGTGGGCCTATCTTAAGTCCCTTTTCTCTGTTCTTCAGGGGCACATGTAGAAGGACCATTCATTAGCCATGAGAAACGGGGGGCACATCCTGATTCCCATCTCCGCACTTTTGAGGGTGATGCATTCCAGGAATTGTTGAAAACCTATGGATCCCTGGACAACATTGCCATCATCACCCTGGCCCCTGAACTTAAAAGAAGTCATGAGGTCATCAAGGAACTCACTTCCCGTGGCGTCTGTGTGTCCGTGGGTGAGAGCAGGTTGGGGTGTGTGTATAGAACGGACAGATTTTGTCTCCCTATAACCCAGAATTCTCTGCTCCCCAGATACCTTCCATGACCCCCAACACTAATTTCTCTTCTTATGACCCAACCCCCCAGGTCACTCTGTCTCTCACTTGAAGGAGGCTGAAGAAGCAGTCCGGAATGGGGCCCGTTTTATCACCCACCTCTTCAATGCCATGCTGCCTGTGAGTGACTTTCTGCTACCTGTTTAGGCATTCCCGTCTCAATCCTTTCAGGAGCAGTCCTCTTCTCTTTCACTATCCCTATGATTATTTTCCCCCAATGTGGTATGACTGGTCTGGCCTTGCCTTGCCTTGCCTTGCCTTGCCTCAGTGAGCCCTATTCCAGCTCCTGCACAAATCTTGGTGTTGTGGTGGAGGACGTGCTCCATGCTTGGGGGAAGAGAGTAGTAACTATGGTTAGGGGGAGAGAACTCCTAAGAATATGAGAGGGTTTCTGGAGCTATCAGCCTGAGACAGGTGATGTTGGCAATATGGAGTGCTTATGGGCCAGCTCCTCCATCAGTCTGCCTCTTCCTTTTGTCCCCATTGACCTTCCAGTTTCATCATCGTGATCCTGGCATTGTGGGTCTTCTGACTAGTGATCAGATCGCACCAGAACAGCAAGTTTTCTTTGGAATGATTGCAGATGGTATCCACACACATCCTGCTGCCCTAAGGATTGCACACCGTGCTCATCCCAAAGGTGGGGACAAGGAGAAAGATAGAACCACAGGGAAATAGAGCAAAGTTGGGGGGCCCCGTGGGTGACAGGACTGACAGTGGAGGGTTGGGAGTGAATAAAGGACAGCTGTGATCTTCCCCTTCCTAGGGCTCGTGCTGGTCACTGATGCCCTTCCTGCCTTGGGCTTGGGCAATGGTCGCCACACATTGGGTCAGCAAGAAATCGAGGTAGATGGGCTGAGATGCTGTGTGGCAGGTAAGGGGTTAGAGATTGATGTTCTAATGGCTAAAAGGAAGGGACACTGAGTTCTAATCAAGTTCCTCCCCTCCCCTTGAAAAATAAAACAAAGCCCCAACAGCTCTAATATCCACCAAAACACCCCATTCTGGGCAGTGTCCCTGTTGCATCTACCACTGAAATCCAACCCCTTCTTTGGCATCCTTCAACTAACTCCATCCATGTCTATCCTTCAGCCTCTTGTGTCTACCTTCTTGTCTCTTTTCCCATAGGTACCAACACACTTTGTGGCAGTGTGGCCTCATTGGATACTTGTGTCCGGCACTTTCTCCAAGCCACAGGTCCTCCGAATGGGGAAGGGGATAGATGCTCTTTGAGACTGAGACCAGGAAGTCTAAATGGGGGGGTGGAGGGAGGGTGAGGTTGACTCTGCTTTTTATTGCTTCCAGTCGTTCTCTTTTGAGTCCTTTCCTTCCTCCTCCAATCAGAGCATAGACCTTTTTGGTTGCAGTGCCATGGGGCCTTTGAGTCTATTTTTCTAGGCCTGGATATGCCCTTCTTGTTTGCCTCAGGAAATCACAGTTTCTGAGGACCTTGGGTGAAATATTGTAGCCCTGCTGTTCAGGCAGATGTGCATTTCTAGTGTTTAATTTGAGAAGTAGGATGAGGCATATAGGTTTGCAATGTTAACAGAACATAACAAAACTTTTTTAGGCCAGGGCATAAAAAACACATACATGCTCCACTGGGGAAGCTCCCTCCCAAGACACTCCTTTCTCCTTCTCCTTTCCTGCTTATTGCCTGCTTCCTGGGGCCAAATGTCCACTATCCTGGCCAAACTGGAAGACACATCACAAGAATATGTACTTCCAGAGGAAGGGCATTTGCTCATACTCATCACTTGCCCAACAGGCTGCAGTGTGGAGACGGCACTTGAGGCTGCAACCTTGCACCCAGCCCAGCTGCTAGGGATAGAAAAACAAAAGGGGACCTTGGACTTTGGCTCAGATGCAGGTATCTGGGTTTGGGAATGTGATGGATTGAACTCTGTGGGGTGAAAGGGTACAGTCTTTGGGTCTGGAGATCTCAGACCATTTCCTGTGGCTCCTCTAATTTCAAGACTCAAATGAGATCACCCCTTCCTATCTGGCCTCAATGGCTGGGAACATCTTCCTTGCTCTTTTGAATGTAGGATGCAATATCTGCTTACCAACTAAACTGTTTTCCAGTTTAACCACCCCTGAAGCCAACACTGGCTAAAGCCAATTCAGAATTTTCTATGAAATTTTATTGCCAAATAGTGCTGAGGGATTAGGCTAGGTAACCAGATATTGAAAACCTAAAGCTATCAGCTTTTGTGTCTCCTTGAACAGGAAGAAGCCTTCAGCTCCAGAGAGTTTTCTGTATTCTCTGGGCTGAGTTTTTCTTCTCCCTGACACTGTCCCTTCCTAAGCCTGCTGTCTGTCTCCCTTCCCATAGGGATAGGGACTCACTTAGAGTCACTCAAGCACCTTTGGCATTTCTTCATAATTATAAGATAGTGTTTTTAAATAGTTTAGGAAATATCTAGTTCAGTATCTCATTATACAGATGAGGAAATTTAGGCCCAGAGAGGAAAAATGATTGACCAGGTCACAGATATTCCAGATACCTGCTTTCCCTCTCGTCTTTCATGGAGTTTTTGGGAGAATCATAAAGAAGAATGAGCTGAGAAAGAGGAGGAGCAGGAGCAGGCTATGTTTGGTGAAGGTTTCCTCCCCTTATTGTACATAAAACCTCCCCTTATTGACTAAAAAATGGGGTAGAGAGTAGAAAACCTGGGATCATTCTGAAGCATTCTCCCTTCCCACTCAGAGAGTGACCTGGAATTGAGAGAGGCTGCTGTGGGAATTAGTGGTTCCCCTCAAGGTCTTTCACCAAAGACTGATGAGCACCTGCAAGGTGTTTTGTAGAAGGGATTCTTTTTTCAGATATGAGTTGGACTGGAGGCCTCTGAAGTCCCTCCCAATTCTGAAATGCTGTGAAGATACCTTGACCAAATGGAAACAGTGGGAGGGGCAGTGGTAATTGATCGTATGAGCTCCCTAAATACTGGGAGGTTGATGCTTTACAAGGACATTTCAATCGGTGTTTTGTCTGCAGACTTCGTAGTCCTCGATGACTCTCTGAATGTCAAGGCCACATACATTGCAGGAGACCTGGTGTGGAAAGACAAGACTTTCAGTCACTGATGGGCTGGAGCCAGAAGACTTTGCTCAGCCCTCATCTAGATGCTGCATCTACATCGAGGTTGGCAGCTTCCTTGGGGTCTTAAATATCTGAGGAGACAGAAGTTCCAGGCCCTTCTAGACCCTGCACTTGGAGGAATACTGAGCCCAAGTCTTGGACTGAGACATGGACTCCATGGGAGGGCCTCTTCTGTAGTCTCCTCCTACTCCCCAAAATAAAATGGATACTCCTACAACTCCTTGCTCCATGAAGAACCATGATGGGTATTGATGGGACCTTCGATGATCAAGCCCCGTCTCTCTTTAATCAACAACTCTGATGAACATGCACCTTACAGTGTTTTGTGTTCCTTTCTTATTTTGCTTGTTTTTTAATTGGGTGTGGCTCATTCAGTCAATCTGGCTGTAATTCTTTGCCCACAAGAAGGTTACAGTCTTATTTAGGAGTAATGATTAACAACATGAAGCAGTTAGAAAATAGGGCAAGTTAACATGTTAGATTTTTGTGGTTCAGATAGTAAAAAGACTAATAAGGGCTAAAAAGTATACATCCTGGAAAAAATGATACTTGACCTTGGGCCCTGCCTAGGCAAGGTGGGAATAGTTAAGTATGAGCTTTTAAGCAGGAAAATGGGATGTGCTTCAGAGTGAATTAAAGCAGTTTGCGCACAATATAGGGAAATAATAAAGTCAGAGACCTAAGTTAGGGCCAAATTGTCTGTGGAAGACTTTTTCATGTTAAGATGGGTGGAAAGGTTTAAGGGGATCATTGAATGTGTTTGAAGAGGGGGATGGCCTGATCAGAATAACATTTAGGAAAAAATCTTGCACGACATAAGAGGCTACATAAGGAGTACAAAGATGCTAGTAAGAGGAGAGAAAAGGACTGAAAGGGCCAAAGGGAAATCCTAAGGCAAAACTTTATTAAGGAGTTACGAAGAGACCCAGCAGGATTTATAGTATATTGAGGAGACACAGGAGAGAATCCAAGAGAGTGAAGTATCCAGTAAGAGTATGGTTAACAGTGACAAGAACTCCAGAGAAGTCAATGAACAAGGTCAAGTACTGTAAGAGAGCCTATGGATTTGGTGACTTTGGAAAAGAGTAGATGCAAAAACAAGCAAGACTTTGAGGAGGGAGAAAGAATGAGAACGTGGAGTCAAGACAAACCAGCAGTCAAAGAGGGAGAGGAAGAAAGGGAAGGGTGTGGGGAGGGAGAATGAACTCGACTAGCTGGAGGTATGAGGGATCAGGGAACAAGGATGACTCAGGAAAATAAAGTTTCAAGCATGGATACTGTTGAGTGAAATAAAGGAGGAGGAACAGCTCATTTAGCAGTGAGGGAGAGGAGTTCAGTTCTGGATGTAGTGCGTGTGTAGTGCTTGTGGGCCATTCATATAGACCGCCCATTATCTAATAGTCCGTGAAACGCAGGACTAACTAGAAAAGGTTGGGGCAGAGGATTTGAATATTAAGGGAAGGGGGCAGGGCCCTGGGGACCGCCATTTGTCAGCGACAGCGCTTCTGCATAGGAGGAAGGTAGTCTAGACGGAGGTGGAGACCTCGGCGATCTGGGCTGCCGTGGTCACCTGTGCCTGAGGGACCTCGGGGTGGCTAAGGCCGTCCTACCCTACAGGCGACGCCTCGCCCTGCCCGGGCGTGCGAAGACTGCTCTGCGCCTGCGCCGTCGCTCCTCGGCCCCGCGCCCTGGCCGCCGGCGAAGTAGACCGCCTAGCTAGGGGCTGGCTGCGGAACTGGAAAGGTGAACCGCGTTTCCGGGCGGAAGGGAATCTGCGCAGGACCCTGGACTGACCGGAGCGCGTGGTGGCGGGGCCGTGCATGGAGGTGAGGGCTGGGTCGTGCGGCGCGGCCTTGGGAGCGAAGCCTCCGAGGGCTCGGATCCCCCAGTGACCGCCGATTCCTCCCTCTCCTTCAGGCGTTGCAGTCGACGGGCCAGAAGCGGCCGGAGCCTGTTGGCGGAGGCCGCGGGGCCAACAAGAAGGGCAAGAAACAGCCGCCGCCTCCCCGGGCCGAGCCGAGCGGGCCGGGCCGGGGCCAGGGCCGGGGCGCCGAAGAGGTGGCCGGGGTGCCGGTGAGCAAGAGGCCGGGGGTGGGCTGGGCGGCCGGCTCGGGACCCCCCTTGGGCCTTAGTTTCCGACTGTGTTCAACTACAGGCTGGCGTAGGTGTTCTCCAATTCTCTGTTCGGCTCTTCGATTCAGTGGGAGCCGAGGGACAGGCGTGGGAAGGTTCCTGCCTGCCTGATCCGCTGCCTCTCAGCAGGCCTGCCCCTGCTAGAATGGAAGCTCCTTGCGGACAGGAACATTTTTGGCTATTCTTTGTATCCTCAGCACTTAACCCAGTGGCAGGCACCTAGTAAGGACTTGGTGGGACTGCAGATCAGAACCCTCTCGTTTCCTGATACGCAGGAGCAGGATGAGCAGCTTCGGCTACAGAGGGAGCTGGACTGGTGTGTGGAACAGCTGGAGCTGGGCCTGAGGACTCAGAAGTCCACCCCAAGGCAGGGTAGGCCGGACGAGCAGGGCCGAGTGTGGGGGAAGGGGGTATTGGGGCTGGCAGGGTCACGTGATCCCGTCTGTCCTCCCAGCGGAACAGGCAGCCCGAGCTATAAAGACGCTTCGGAGTCATCGAGCGGAGTTACCCAAGAAACGTCAAGTGATGAGGTCACTGTTTGGGGACTACCGGACCCGAATGGAGGAAGATCGCAAAACAGCCCTGAAGGCCATGGAAGCTGGTGAGGTGGGAGGAGAGAAGGTTACTGAGAGCTGTTTGGGCTATTCCGGGATGCTTCAGTGTGCCATGTATACATTCCATCATCCTTGCAATGACCTAGTAAATAATGTCAGTAGCTATTATTTCTGCTGTAATGATGAGGCCACACAGATAATTAGTGGAAGAACTAGGATTCAAACCCATCACAATAGCTTCTGGAAAGAGCCCTCATGGGAGGCCAAGTGGCTTGGATTTAAAAGACCTCAATTTAAGTCTCGGCTCCACATTTGCTAACTACGTGAACACGAATAAGCCCTTGATACAGAGTTCAGCTTCTTAATGTTACAAATGAGGAGACTGACCTAGAGAGATAGTGAGTTGCCTATTACGCCGTAAGTAACATAGGCCAAGTCTGAAAGGATTTCATAGTATTATAGATTTAAAGCTGAAACTGACCTTAGAGGCCTCTAGTCTGACTCTTATGGTCTGATGGGTCAGCTGAAGTTGAGAAAGGTGAAGTTATTTACCCAGACCACACAGGCAGTAACCAATGCTGGATACATCACTAGGATGGAGACAGAGACCTTGAGGAGGAGAAGGTAGAGGAGATGAGGAAGGAGCTACAAAGAATTTATTTTCTTTCCATTGTGTACTTTGAGGCTTGGGGCTTATAACACTAAGTTTGTTCTGCCTTTCCGGCTTCAACCCCTTGTTTGATCTCTTTCTTGCAGCAGCTCGATCAGCTCGGATGCTGCCCGTTGAAGAGGCTGTCCGAAGGAAGAGTAGCCGGGTCTGCAGGCATCGTCCGGGTGGAGGGATGAGTTCTGTGCCTTCTCCAAAGGAAGAATTTAGGTTTAACTTTTTTTAATCCCTACCCACCAGGGATCTCCCTAATTTCTGCCAAAAAATCTGCCACTACCACCCCCAACCCATTCTAGGGGCTGGAGAGGGAGCAGGTAATCAGGTTTGGGAAAGTCACCTGGTAGGCAGATATATGATTGAGATGGCTCAGACTTCCTGCTTCTCAGATGTGTGGTCATTGTCACAGAAGCCCCTGCTTGACATGTGGGGTCACCAGGCCCCTTGTGGGATAGATATGTATTTACCATATCTTGAATTCTTTGAAGACAGACAAGCTTAGTTTGTACTGTGCCTTGGCTAGAGGGTGAAGATGGAGGTAGCTGAAGCTGCTTGAAAAAGACTGATTTGGCTTTTACCTCTTAGCTACCTTGGTGCCTCTAGAGAGGTCTTCATTCAGTAAAATCATCCCTCAACTTTCTCATCTGAGTGTCTCTCTGGGACAACAGGATGGGTCACAGTAGGGTAATTGGATAGAGGGCAGGGACAGCATGGCTTGGGGGCCATCAGTCATGGTGCATCTCTAAAGGATTAAACAGTCCTTACTTCTCAATTTAAATGCCCTCACAGCCTCACCCAAAGGAAAATCTCATGCTTTTTCTCCTTGGATGAGGGGTTGAAGCAGGGCTCATCCCATGGGAGTTTTGTGCTTATGGGTTTCCTCATTGAGCTGCTTTTTCCAAAGGACATAAAGGGTTAAAGCTGACGCTCTTGCTCCATTTGGGTCAGTTAGTCAGCAGGTATTGATGAAATGTCTGCTATGTGGCTGGAGCTGTGCTAAGCTCTGGGAACTCACAGATGAGAATGAAATGGCTTCTGTCCTTAAGGAGCTTCTTTCTTTTGGTGGAAGCAACAGGTCCATATGTGAATACCTACAAAGTAAATATAAGGCAGTTTAGGGAGGGGGCAAGGGCCCTAGCAGCTAGCAGCTAGCAGCATCCATAAAGGCTTTGTGCAGGAAGGTGTGTTATAACAAACCTTGAGAGGTGGATATGAGAAGTAAGTGCAGCCTGGCTGATGTGTTCATTTGGCCCATCACTGGAACTGAGTTGTGTGGTCATGTGGTTCCTCTTTGCCACCAGTTATTGATCCACCACCACTTCTTAAAGAAGCCACCTACTCCCCTTCTTTGCCTTCTCTGAAGGTTTTTTATTTTTGCCTTCACTGTATGCACTGATCTTCAGGATGACAGGAGCTAGCTAAAATGTGGATTTTCACCCTTGCCCACTTTGACCTTTCTCCCCTTCCAAGCAATGACTTTGGGGGAAAGCTGAACTACTTATAAGCTGTTTTTTAAATAGAGGCCACAAAGACTGTGACTAGTAAGGAAGATTTTTTTTAAATTAAGTTTTTTAAAAATTACAAAGCATATTTTTTTTATTCCTTCCATCTTGCCTTCCTTCTCCCCCCAAAGAAGAAAAAAAAACAAAACCTTTGTAACAAATAAACAGTCATGCAAAACAAATTCCCATATGTCTAAAAATACATCTCTCATTCTACATTAGGCCATGGATTGTCAGAAGGTAGGTAGCATTCTTAATCTTAATTGTAGGTTCTTTGGAATCATGTTAACCCCTTCATTTTAAAAACTAAGAAGTTAAGTGATTTATTTAGGGTCATAGCAAGTGGCATATCTGGGATTTTAATCCAGATCTGATTAATTCATTGTTGCTTTCTCTGCAGTGTACTAGACAAGACTTCTTGACCGGGGGGACTTATTTTTTAAAAGATTTTGGTAAATTATTTTCAATAGAATTGGTTTCCTTTGTAATCTTAGGTATTCTATGCTTCCAAAAACTTTTTTTTTGGGGAGGGACCAGAATGACAGAGAAAAGGCAGGGACTCACCTGAGCTCTCTCAAATTCCCCTCCAAACAACTTTAACACTTCAAAATGAGTTCTGGAGTGTCAGAACTCACAAAAAGATGGGGTGAAACAATTTTCTGGCTCAAGACAACTTAGAAGATCAGCAGAGTGAGAGTGAACACAGGCAGCAAGACATCAGCAAGCCTTGGGGGTGACTGAATCAGCAATGGCAGCAGTAGCTCCTGAAGTTTTCAGTCTACAGGTAGTAAGGGGTCAGACAACTAGTCAGAAGGAGATTACAGGAATCCTTTTGCTGCTATGATATCCAGGTTGCAGCCTCAGGCTGAGGAGGATTACTAGCACTCCAGAGCTTGTAGCCATAGGGGAATGGGGACCCTGGCCATAGTTCCACAGGAACAGGCCAGGAGAACAGTGATCCCCACCTGTCCTTAGATAATACTACCTTGGGAGAACTGAAAACTCATAGATACTCCACACCCCAACAAGCAGTTAGAAAGGCCTAAAGCTTAGGATAGTGCCCCCTCCACCCTGGGAACAGAGTCCCACTTTAAAGTAGAGTCCTACTTTACTTTAAAGTAGAGTCAAGAAATAGGCTGGGAAAATGAGCAAAAAAAAAAAAAAAAAGAAGAACCTGACCAGAGAAAGTTACTGTGGTGACAGGGAAGATTAAAACAAAATTGGAAAGGGACAGCACAGTCAAAAATGCTACATCTAAATTTGGAAAGGGACAGCAGAGTCAAAAATGGTACATCCAAAGCTTAAAAGAAGATGTAAATTGGTCTCAGGCCCAAAAAGAACTCATAGAAGAGCTGAAAAAGGATTTTTGAAAATCAAATAAGAGGTGGAGGAAAAATTAGAAAATGAGTAATGCAAGAAAATCATGAAAAAAGTGAATAGCTTGGTAAAGGGAGGCACCTTCCTCCCCCAAAAAGGAAAATAACACCTTAAAAAACAGAGTAGGCCAAATGGTAAAAGTTACAAAAATCCAACAAAGAACTCATTAAATAGCAGAATTGGCCAAATGGAAAAGGAGATGCAAAAACTCACTGAAGAAAATAATTCCTTAAAAATTAGAATTGGACAAATGCAAACTATCATCTCTGAGACATCAAGAAACAGTAAGACAAAATCAAAAGAATAAAAAAAAAATAGAAAATGTGAAATATGTCATTGAAAAAACAACTGCCCTGGAAAATAGATCCAGGAGAGATGGTTTAAGAATTATTAGACTGGCTGAAAGCCATGAACAAGAAAAGAACCTAGACATCATCTTTCAAGAAATTACCGAGGAAAACTGCTCTGATATTCTAGAACCAAAGGGTAAAATAGAAATTGAAGGAATTCACCAGTTACCTCCTGAATTACCTCCTGAAAAAGGTCTCAGAATGAAATCTAGGAATATCATAGCCAGATTCCAGCGCTCCTAAATCAAGGAGAAAATATTGCAAGTATCCAGAAAGAAATAATTGAGGTATCGTGGAGCCACAGTTAGGATAAGAAGATTTAGTAGCTTCTACCTTAAAGGATAGGAGGGCTTGGAATATGATATTCCAGAGCACAAAGGAACTAGGATTGTGAACAACACCTGGTAAAACACTATAATCCTGCAGGGGGGAAATGGATATTCAAAGAAATTGAAGCATTCTTGATGAAAAGCACAGAGCTGAATACAAAGTTTGACTTTCAAATATGAGACTCAAGCATAAAAAGGTAACTAGGAAAGGGAAATAGTAAGGGATTCAATAAGGTTAAACTGTTCACATTTTTGTGATACTTGTAACTCCTAAGAACTTAAGTTTTTAGGGCAATTAGAAAGAATATACATAGAGGACACCAGTGTGAGTGGACTATAATGGGATGTTGTCTAAAAAAATAAGATTAAGGGCAAGTGGATTGGGTAAGTTAAGAAAGGATTGGGAGAGGGCAAAAGAGAGGTAGAATGGGGTAAGTTATTTCACATAAAAGGTGCAAAAGAGCTTTTCAGGGGAGGGGAAGTAGAGGGAAATGTTTGAATCTTACTCTCATCAGAATTGGCTCAAAAAGGGAATAATAGGCACTCAGTTGGGTATAGAAATCTATCTTACCCTACAGGAAAGTAGAAAGGGAAAGGAATAAGAAGAGAGAGGGGGGTGGTAGAAGGAAGGGTAGATTGGAGGAGGGGGTGGTCTACTAGAAGCAAAACACTTGATGGACCAGTGTGAAAAGAGAAAGTAGGATAAATGGGGAAAATAGGATGGAGGGAAATGCACAGTTAATCAACTAAAAAAATACAACAAATTCTCTGATAAAGGCCTCGTTTTTCATGAGGATTGATTCAAATTTATAAAAATAAGAGCCATTCCCTAATTGATAAATGGTCAAAGGTTATGAACAGGCAGTTTTCAGATAAAGTAACCAAAGCTAACTATATAGTCATACAAAAAAACAATCATTATTTAAGTGTTAGAGAAATGCAAATTAAGCCAACTCTGAAGTATAATCTCACACCTTTCAGATTGGTTAATATGACAGAAAAGGAAAATGACGAATGGAGGGGATGTGGTAAAATTGACAAATGTTGGAGGGGATGTGGTAAAATTGTGACACTAAAGCAGTGGAATTGGGATTGGGAACTGATTCAACTATTCTGGAGAACAATTTGGAACTATGCCCAAAGGGCAAGAAAACCATGCATACACTTTGAGCCAGCAATACCACTAGTAGGTTTCTATCCCAAGGAGATTGAAAAAAAAAAAAAAAGGAAAAGGACCAATATTTACACAAATATTTATAGCAATTCTTTTAGTGGTGGCAAAGAATTGGAAATTGAGAGAATGCCCATCAATTGCAGAATGGCTGAACAAATTGGGTTATAGATTGTGATGGAATACTATCGTACTATAGGAAATGAAGAATAGAATGCTCTCAGGAAAACCTGGAAAGACATCCATGAGCTGGTGCAAAGTAACGAGCAGAACCAGAAGAAAATGGTATACAGTAACAGCAGTATTGTACAATGATCAATTGTGAATGACTTAGCTGTTCTCAGGAAAGTAATGATGCAAGACAGTCCTGAAGTACTTCTGAAAAATGCTATGCACCTCCAGAGAAGAAACTGATGGAGTCTGAATTTAGATTGAAGCATACTTTTTCTTTTTTGGTCTGTTTTCTTTTGCAACATGAGTAACGGAAATGAAATAAAATAAAACATTCCAAGGAGAGGCTTTAGCTTTGCCAGACGGCCAAAGGCTCCATGACCCCAAAAAGGTTAAGAACCCCTCCCCTAACAGATGGCCAGCACAATTATCTTTGGGACTTGGGACTTGAAGAGTGGAGCTGAAATAGTTGAATTGAGTGAAAGTGACAATGCAGAGGGCTAATGATACCCTACATGTGACATGCAGACAGTGCAAGGATTCTTCCTCACTGAGCAGAAGCTGAGAAGTGCCTTAAAAGAAAGCAGGCTCTGAGGAATCTGAAGAATAGTGTGGTTAGAGACTTGTCTTATCTTGGATGATTACTTGAGCCTGTTACGGTATTCAAAGAAATTTCAAGTTGCAGCTGTCACAGCCAACAGCTTCACGAGTATTGAGCTTCTATGTGGATACGACACTCT